TCATGAAAAATGGGGGCAAAAACAAAAGTGTTGCGTTTATAATTTTGTTCAGTGTGTAAATATATATATATATATATATATATATATACACACAGTTATACACTGGATTATGCATTAGAACATGCTTATTTAATATATAAACAATTTTTTCTCTATTTTTTTTACAGGGGGAAAAAATTTGGTGTAGAAACAATTTTCTCTCAGAAAGTTAAAACGAAATTTCAAAGAAATGGCAAGTAAAACATTGAACTAAACATGACATTTTGAATTATAAAAACATAAAACTTACTATAATAATATTTGTTGTATTTTCAACTTAAAAATATATTTTTTCAGTGAATACTGTGAATGGTGCAGTTATATAAAATGACTGATACTGTGGTATAAGATTTTGGTCATGCTGCCCATCCTTACGTTGAGTTGTCAGTTTTGATTTTAGAAATCCCAAGTTAGTGTTACATTTTGGAGTACGTATAACGTAATAGGCTTAAATCAAACAGCTTCCCTTCTCATTATGTGCGCAATAATCTGAATTTGGCAGAAGAAATCAGTCAGAAATGCATATGCACCCATAAACAATCCCACAAAGGTTTACAAGTGTGTAAAAACTTTGTGTCTAATCACCTGTGGAGGTCCCTGGAGATCCGAGGCTGGAGGAGTTCCTGTCCCCCACGGAACCTCCTTCCCTGCGGCCTCTCAAGAAAAGAAGCCAAGCAACCTCTCCTTTCAAGCCGAACCTCCCATCAGGGCCTGCAGTAGGCCGATAAAGTCCAGCCCAAAGCCTCCTTCTCAAATACAGGGAAATCCGTTTGGTCAGGGTGCACTTCTCATCGACCTGTGGTCTTAAACCCTACACTGGCTAAGAGCCAACGCTGCCGGCTGTGAACCATGCGCTGTAAAGCTCTCTGTAGCGTGGAGACACCACTGGGCCCTTATCCTGAGAGGAAGTTTAATATTTCCCATTGGGAGGGTGAGAGGAGGGATTGGCTAACAGGTTTAGTTTAGGGTGGGGGTGAGAGTGTGCCCTTGCAATATTCATAAAGGTCAGTGGCTCTTTTATGATATATTGTCTCAGATCACTGCAAGGGTGTCAGTCCCATCATGCTCTCTGCTTGCATGGAACCAGTCACGGTTAAGTGAGATGGCAGCGAGGTAATAATGCAACAGTAGACTAGAGTTTTTTGACATGTACACAGATACATAAAGAGAGACCATGGAGATCATACAAACACTGGCTTATATGACAGCTTCAACATATGAGCTAAACCCTGAAGGTACAAGCAATAAAACTTCCAATAATCTTCACGGTACTAGTGATAGACTGATATATTGGACAGGACAGTTAATCGCCTGAGATTCGGCCATTCTGAGACTCGAGATTATCCGAGAAGCGTGTCGGTTGCACTTTCTGCTGAAAGCC